AAAAACATCCAGAAAAGGCAGAAGGGGAGGAGTCAGAGAGAGAGCCTCCGGAAAAGTAGGTAGAAATCTAAATGTGTGATGGCTCCAGAAACAAAAGGAAAGAGCCCTTCTAGGAGAGAGGAGACAATGAGTGCTGATGAAAGCAAAGACAATGGGGCCCTTGGGTGGCTCAGTCTGTTAAGCGGCCGACTTAGGCTCAGGCCACGATCTTGCAGTTCGTGAGTTCGAGCCCCACATCGGGCTCTCTGCTGTCAGCACAGAGCCCACTTCCGATCCTCTGTCCCCTCTCTCTCTGCCCCTTCCCTGCTCTTTCAAAAATAAATAAAACATAAAAAAAAACAAGCCAAAGAAAATGACAACTAACAAATGTTCATTAGCTCAGTGATAAGCAGCTGATTGACAAAAGTTGGCAAAACCAGGGGTGCCTGGGTGGCTCAGTCAGTTAAGCCCCTGACTTTGGCTCAGCTCATGATCTCACGGTTTGTGGGTTTGAGCCCCATGTTGGGCTCTGTGCTGACATCTCGGAGCCTGGAGCCTGCTTTGGATTCTCTCTCTCTCTCTCTCTCTCTCTCTCTCTCTCTCTCTCTCAAAAATAAACAAACATTAAAAACAAAAACAAAAAAAGCTTGGCAAAACCAGACTGAGCCTAGTGGTAGAGCCAGAATACAGATCTCTAAAGAGTGGGAGCAGAACTAGGAAAAACATCAAGTATAAGCAACTCGTTCTAGAAGTTTGGTTGTGCAAAGGTGTTGTGAGAGCTAGAGGATGAGAGAACCAGGAAATGAGAAAGAATGGAATAAGCAATAGGGGAAGCAGGAGGGGACAAAAAGAGACTTTTTTTTGCTTTTGCTTTTGTAGAGGCAAAATGAACAAACCTTTTAGAATCTCTAACAATAACAAAGAGAGAGGCGCCTGGGTAGCTCAGTGGGTTGAGCGTCTGGCTCTTCATTTCGGCTCAGGTCACGATCTCCTGGTTCATGGGCTCATGCCCCGACTCTCACTAACAGATAGGAAATTCTGCTTAGGATTCTCTATCTCCTTCTCTCTTTCTCTCTGCCCCTCCCCTCCCTCAAATATAAATAAATCAACATTAAAAGAAACAAAGAGAATTTTATTCCACCCTAAATTAGGACAGCTGCCCAGGAAACACCCTGTTCACTCCAGAAGGTACTCTGGAGAATGAACCGTTTTTACGAACTTATGTACTTTTTTACATCTTGTAAAAAAGCGCAGATTTGGGGCTCTTGGGTGGCTCAGTCGGTTGGGCGGCCGACTTCGGCTCAGGTCATGATCTCGCGGTCTGTGAGTTCGAGCCCCATGTCCGGCCCTGTGCTGACAGCTCGGAGCCTGGAGTCTGCTTCAGATTCTGTGTCCGCCTCTCTCTCTGCCCCTCCCCTGCTCATGCTCTGTCTCTCTCTGTCTCAAAAATAAATGAAAACATTTAAAAAAATAAATAAATAAAATAATGGGGGCAAAGGAGAATGCAGCGATGAAGAGGGAGAGAGTAAAAATAGCCAGAGATGATACGAATACCTTTTAGATAGAAACAAGCCTGAGGTGCCTGACTCACTCAGCCGGGGCCACCTGTGACTCTTGATCTCAGGGTTGTGAGTTTGAGTCCCATGTTGGGTGTAAAGATTGCTAAAAGCAAAACAAAAAACAAAAAAACAAAAAAATCTTAGAACGAACATAAAAATGAAAATAAAAAAAACAGCCCCAAATGGAGACATTTGGGGGAAACATGGAATCCTTTGCCCCCCACGACGGCAAATCAAGACTCTTTCAGCTTCAACCTCTCCCGGGAGTGTCACCTTCTAAAAGTCGGATCTGAAATTCCCTGAGTGTAATCTGTAGGTTAAAATCCTGGCTGTTTCCTTCCTCATCCCCACCCCCTAAAGGCAGCCATCCAGGCCTGAAGGGATCCTTTCTTTTCTTTTGCTAGTAACTTCTTTGCCCCGCCCTGCTTCCTTTCGAGATGGGATGCTACCAGCGTCCTGAATCGCTTAATAAAGCCAATTAGATCTTCAAATGTACTCGGTTGACTTTTGTTGTTTCACAATACTAAAGGATAGGATCCAGATCACAGGTTCTACCGGAACTGGAGGGAATGGGGGAAAAAAAAAAACCCAGAGGAATGCTGATAAAGATTGAATTGCAGGGAGCTGACAGGATTTGTTACCTGGGTTTCCAGGCCTCATAAGATTAAAGACAAGAAAATCTGAAGGTGTGGGCAAGTAATGAAAGGGGACAGTGATGAAAGTAACAGTTCCTCTCCGGGGGGGGGTCGCCTGGAAGGCTCAGTCGGTAGACCATGCGACTCTTGACCTTGGCGTCAGGAGTTCGAGCCCCATACTTGGCTACAGAGATTACTTATACATACGTAAAGTTAAAGTTAACAGTCGATCTTAAAGGCTATTCATTTATTTACTGAACATTCACCTAGTACTAGAGTAGGTTTTCTGAGGCCACTTCATTGGAAAACATATTGCCTTATTTTTATGACCAAGGGGGAAAAAAACCAGCCTCCCCCTCCTCCCCACCCCCCAGTAAAAGGCGGTGCCACCATTCCACGATTCTTCTAGTTGCTCCTAGGAGTCACCCAGGAGTCAACCCCAACTCCTACCTTTCCCTCACCTCTCCTCTGCCACGTCCCTCCCCTCTGGGTGCACGTTCGCACGTCAGCAGGTAAGCGCACGGCCACGCACGGCCACGCACATACAGGCACGCAAGCGCACGTACAGCATGTAAACGCACGTACACGCGCGTAAGCGCATGTAAACGCACGGACACGCGCGTAAGCGCATGTACGCGCACGCGTACACCACACCCAACTGACTGAGAAGCCCTGTTAATTCTGATTACAAAACAGGTCTGGAAGCGCCTGCTGTTTCCAACTCCACTGCTTCAACCTTGGTCCAAGCCGCTAGCCCTTTCCACAAGGACTGCAACAGTAGTTGCTGTTAAAGAATACAAAAACTCAACTGGGTAAATTTTAAAGGACTCCGAGGCTTTATTCAGCTGTTCACGAATCGGGCACCATCCAGTCTAGATAACAGAAAGGGCTGCACAGGCAAGAGATTTTCTAGGCAGAAGGGAGCAGGAACAAGGAAGTTTCATTAGGCAAAAGTTGGGTTGGTTATTGCAAGATTACTTTCCTTACAGGGGACGGTAGGGATTATCAGGCAGATTACCTAACTCACGTTCAGCACGTGATTCCTGATTGGTTTAAGATTCCAATCTGGGGACAGCCAAAACTCTAAGTCTCAGTTTGGCGACAAGGGGCTTAGCAACGAGCGACTCCATTCCTGTTGTGTAGGCTTTAACACCCCTGCTCGTAACTTCCCTCCTCCTCACGTCCATGCTTCTCTCTTTCCATCCACTCCCCCCACAGAGGCTAGAACAAACATCACATCGTTGTATGTCCCTCCATGAAATCTTCCAACTGCTCCCGAGTGCTCGGAAAATACGATCCAACATCCTCACCATATTTCCCTTGTTCAAAATACCTCCTCCACATGGGCCTGATAATAAGTTCCTAGAATATGCTAAGCTCTAGGATCAACGCAAGGCCTTTGAGCCTCCTGTTCCTCTACTTTTGTCACATGCCTCCCCTGACTTTTTGCATGGCTGGCGCTTGCTTAACCTCAATGTCCCTCTTGAAAAATGCATTTCAGGGCAATTCCGCCAAAAGCGTCTCACTTTGCTCCTTAGGGCCACCTGGCTGGCTCAGTCAGAGGAGCATGCAACTCTTGATCTCAGGGTCGTGAGTTTGAGCTCCACACGGGGTGAGGAGATGACTCGAATAAATCTTTAAAAAATTAAAATGAAAAATGTTGAGGGGCACGTGAGTGGCTTGGTCAGTTAAGCATCCAACTTCGGCTCAGGTCACGATCGCATGACTCCTCAGTTTGAGCCCCACGTCAGGCAGGCTCTCTGCTGACAGCACAGAGCCCGCTTCGGATCCTCTGTCCTCTTCTCTCTGTGCCCCTGCCCCACTCGAGCTCGCGCTCGCTCACGCTCTCTCTCTCTCTCTCAAAAGTAAACAATTAAACAAAAATTTTAAAAATGTAAAAAGAAGCGTCTCACTCTACTCCCTATCTTAGAACTTTAATGATTCCCATCATAACACTTAAGACAATCTTTAGTACTTTTCTATGTTTACTTTTGTCTGTCTTCCCATGTGAATTCCACAAGGTCAAGGACTGGGTGTGTCTTGTCTTCAGTTGTTAGAACAGTGTCAGGCATATAACAGGTATCACAAAATGTAGCTTGGAGTGCCTGGGTGGCTCAGTCACTTAAGCATCTGACTCTTGTTTTCTGCTCAGGTCATGATCTCACCATTCCTGGGATCGAGCCCCATGTTAGACTCCATGCTGGCAGCAAGGAGCCTGCTTGGGATTCTCTCTCTCCCTCTCTCTGCCCCTCCCGCATTCATGCTGTCTCCTTCTCTCTCGAAATGAATAAACTTTTTTTCAAAAATGTAGCTAAATTCCAAAACCAGAGACCCCACTAAAAAGGAGAACTATAGACCAATTTCCCTGATGAACATGGATGCAAAAATCCTCAACAAGATATTAGCCAACCAGATCCAATAATACATTAAAAAAATTATTCACCACGACCAGTGGGATTTATACCTGGGATGCAGGGCTGGTTCAATATCCACAAAACAATTAACGTGATTCATCACATCAATAAAAGAAAGGGCAAGAACCATATGATCCTCTCGATAGATGCAGGGAAAGCATTTGACAAAATACAGCATCCTTTCTTGATAAAAACCCTCAAGAAAGTAGGGATCGAAGGAGCATACAGCGAGATCATAAAAGCCACAGATGAATGACCCAACGCCAATATCATCCTCAATGGGGAAAAACTGACAGCTTTCCCCCTAAAGTCAGGAACAAGACAGGGATGTCCACTCTCACCACTGTTATTCAACATAGTATTGGAAGTCTTAGCCTCTGCAGTCAAACACAAAGAAATAAAAGGCATCCAAATCGACCAGGAGGTCAAGCTTTCACTCTTCGCAGATGACCTGATACTCCATATGGAAAACCCAAAAGATTCCACCAAAAAACTGCTAGAACTGATGCATGAATTATGCAAAGTTACAGGATATAAAACCAATGCACAGAAATTGGTTGCATGCCTATATACTAACAATGAAGCAACAGAAAGAGAAATCAAGGAATCGATCCCATTTACAATTGCACCAAAAACCATAAAATACCTAGGAATAAATCTAACCAAAGAGGTGAAAAATCTACACACTGAAAACTATAGAAAGCTTATGAAAGAAATTGAAGAAGGCACAAAAAAAAAATGGAAAAAGATTCCATGTTTCTGGATAGGAAGAACAAATATTGTCAAAATGTCGATACATTTTACAAAGCAATCTACATATTCAATGCAATCCTATCAAAATAACACCAGCATTCTTTTTAAAAAAAAATTTTTTTTTACATTTATTTATTTTTGACAGAGAGAGACAGAGCACAAGTAGGGGAGGGGCAGAGAGAGAAGGAGACACAGAATCTGAAGCAGGCTCCAGGCTCTGAGCTGTCAGCACAGAGCCCGACGCGGGGCTTGAACTCACAAACCGCAAGATCATGACCCGAGCCAAAGTCGGACCTCAACCAACTGAGCCACCCAGGTGCCCCAAAATAACACCAGCATTCTTCACAGAGCTAGAACAAATAATCCTAAAATTTGTACGGAACCAGAAAAGACCCCGAATAGCCAAAGCAATCTTGTTAAAAAAAAAAAAAAAAAAAAAAAAAAACGGGAGGCATCACCATCCCAGACTTCAAGCTATACTACAAAGCTGTAACCATCAGGACAGTATGGTACTGGCACAAGAACAGACACTCAGATCAATGGATCAGAATAGAGAACCCAGAAATGGACTCACAAACGTATGGCCAACTAATCTTTGACAAAGCAGGAAAGAATATCCAATAGAATAAAGACAGTCTCTTCAGCAAGTGGTGCTGGGAAAACTGGACAGCAACATGCAGAAGAATGAACCTGGACCACTTTCTTACACCAGACACAAAAATAAACTCAAAATGGATGAAAGACCTAAATTTACGACAGGAAGCCATCAAAATCCTCGAGGAGAAAGCAGGCAAAAACCTCTTTGATCTTGGCTGCAGCAACTTCTTACTTAACACGTCTCTGGAGGCAAGAGAACAAAAGCAAAAATGGACTACTGGGACCTCATCAAAATAAACAGCTTCTGCACAGCAAAGGAAACAATCAGCAAAACTAAAAGGCAACCGACAGAATGGGAGAAGATATTTGCAAATGACATATCAGATAAAGGCTCAGTATCCAAAATTTACAAAAAACTTATCAAACAAACTCAACACCCAAAAAAACAAATAATCCAGTGAAGAAATGGGCCAAAGACATGAATAGACACTTCTCCAAAGACATCCAGATGGCCAACCGACACATGAAAAAAATGCTCAACATCACTCATCATCAGGGAAATACAAATCAAAACCACAGTGAAATACCACCTGACACCTGTCAGAATGGCTAACATGAACAACTCAGGCAACAACAGATGTTGGCGAGGATGCGGAGAAAGAGGATCTCTTTTGCATTGTTGGTGGGAATGCAAGCTGG